GGCAGTGGCAGTGCGGCGTGGCTGGGCAGTGGCAGCCGCGGCGTTGTCCGACCGCTTGAGGAAGGTTTGGTTGCTGATTGTCCAAATCTTCGTGGCCTTCGTGAGCGGACCAACGGTGGTGGTTACCTTGAACCGTTCAAGGATGTCCATCACCAAAAACGGGTACGGGAGGAGGTGGTCGTGCTCGGTGGACGCGGCAATCGTCATGTTGATCATGACAAACTTTGCCCAATTGATTGGGGCCGAATGCATGATCGCATGGATAAGCTTGAGGTCTTCACCGTGCATGATGGTGTGGTCGTGCTTCCTCGGTTTGATGATTCGGGTGACGATGTAGAGAACGAGGCGGCCGTCGGGGTTGGCGGAGTGGATGGTTGGGCGTCCCGAGGCATGGCGTTTGAGCTCGGTGATGCCAAGCTCGTTGAGGATAAGGCCCTCGTTGTTGAGCACCCAATCCTCGCCACCATAGTGAGACACATTGTCGCCTTGGAAGGGGAGGCCGGCGATGCGCCCAAGCTGCTCCACGGTGAGCTCGATCGGCGTGCTCTTGACGAGCGAGTAGAGCACGTCGTCCTCACGCCGGAGGTTGGAGTAGAAGGCCCGGATCAGCGCCGGGTTGATCTCCTTGCGCGCCCGAGAGACGAACAGCCAAAGGCTGGCTTGATGAAGCTGCGCGTCGAGGTCGTCGTAGCCCTGCAATTCCGGGTAGCGCTCTGGGATGATTCGTGGGGGAGCCACAACCCGTTTGGAGAAAAAGGTGAGAAATCGGGTGCGCTCCTCCTCGGAATCGAACCAGAGGTACGATCCATCGCCGTAGTAGAGGCGTTCCTCAGAGGTCGTGGATGGAGCCCGGGATTTGGACTTGGATTTTCCGGAGGTGCCTGCCCTGTTCTTGTCTTTGCCCATTGTGAAGAAAACTCAAAAAATTAGAGTAGAGAGGATGAAAGATGTGAAGATATTGAGGGAATTTGTGTTTGTGTGTGTAAAAGTGAAGAGAGGGGGTCCCAATTTATAGGAAAGGTGGTGTCCAACGGCCTGATTTTCAAAATTATGGCTGTTGGAGAAGTTAATGCTGCAGCTAACGGATTTTTTTTTGAAAATTTTGACCAGAACAGCGATGTTCTACAGGGGACATCGCTGTTGGGACAGCGCTGTCGTTCCTTGTACAGCGTTGTTCTGCGTCAAGTTTTTAAAAAAACAAGAGTCAAAAGGACAGCGATGTTGAGTACCCTACAGCGATGTTCCAAAAGTTTCTGGAATTGTGTAAGGGTGTAAACCCATTAGGACAGCGCTGTTGGGTTATCCTACATCGCTGTTATGCGATTGGAAAAAAATTTGTAAAAATGGACATCGATGTTGAAGGTAAGACATCGCTGTTTAAAAGGTTTCTGGTTTTGGTTGAAAACAAAAAGTTTTGGGAAGACAGCGATGTTCAAAAGGGAACATCGATGTTCAGAAAGTTTCTGGAAAGTGAAGGTGTAAGGGACTCCCTAGGACAGCGCTGTTGGGTTGATAGACAGCGCTGTTGGAAAACTTTCTGGTTGGCGGTGTTTCCCTCAACAGCGCTGTTGTGTCTCCTGGACAGCGCTGTTTTCATGGTTCCCCCTGATTTTATGAACGGGGTACCTTTCTCGTCTTTGTCAAGATGGTCAGACGTGCTCATCGGGGTCGCCATGGCTTTGGCATTGTCCATTTCAAACCGTTTCAGGAGCTCCTTGCAGTATTTAGCTTGGCAAATGAATGTTCCATCTTTCATTTGCTTAACTTGGAGTCCCAAAAAGAATGTGAGCTCTCCCATCATTGACATTTCAAATTCGCTAGTCATTAGCGTTGAGAATTCCTTGCACAAAGACTCGTTAGTAGCACCGAATATAATGTCGTCTACATAAACTTGAACCAAAAGGATGCTATTGTTTTTACTCTTGATGAAAAGTGTGGTGTCTACCTTTCTCCTTTGGAAACCACTATCCAAAAGAAATTTGCTCAAACGTTCGTACCAAGCACGTGGTGCTTGTTTAAGACCGTAGAGCGCTTTCTTGAGTTTGAAGACGTGATCGGGAAACTCAAAGTCCTCAAACCCCGGGGGCTGGTCAACATACACTTCCTCTTGAATAAAACTATTGAGGAAGACACTCTTAACATCCATTTGATAAAGTTTAAAATCCATAGACGAAGCAAAAGCAAGAAGTAAACGAATAGCTTCTAAACGTGCTACAGGTGCATAAGTTTCTTCAAAATCAATGCCTTCTTCTTGATTGCAGCCTTTAGCTACGAGCCTAGCTTTGTTTCTAGTGATTATTCCATTTTCATCAAGTTTGTTACGGAACACCCATTTCGTACCAATAATCGTACGGTCATCGGGCCTTGGCACCAATTCCCAAACGTCATTCCGTTTGAATTGGTTTAGCTCCTCTTGCATAGCCAAGGTCCAATGTTCATCGTTTATTGCTTCGGAAATGGTTGTAGGTTC